GTCACATGACAGTTGTCGTTTCCTACGTAATATACATTGGTATTCATATCCAACATTTCATGTAAATTCTTTGATTGACCTGTTTGTTCGTCAGTATTACTGTCTTCCGACAAACTTTTCATTCTTTCTATCTCTTCCACTTCTTTTACCTTTCCTTCCAACAGGCTTTGACATGCAAGTTTAAACTTCCTCCACATCGTTTTCTTTTCAAGTTGAAGGCTGCCTTTTCTTACCCTTCAGTGGATATCCACCTGACTGACATAGATAATGCACCTTTGCCTTGAACAGCAAATATGACGCTCTTGCTTTTCCCTAACCCCCTTCAGTGTCTGAATGCTTGTTTTTCGCTCTCAAACTCGTGATCTTTGTCACATTTACTTTGTTTTTTGCTACATGATGAATAATTTGCAGTTTGCGTTCCAACAATCAGAGGAATTCAGCTGACCTTTAAAGTTTTTGCTTTCACAAGCACGACTGATTTCACAATCAATGTCTTTTGTATAACTCATATGCTCATTTGCCCTCCAAAATTCCTCTTTCATTGAGTTTCATTGTATTTCTTGTTAAACATTTTTGCTTTGTTCACACTGTATTTCATTTCTAATTTTGCCATTATGTTTATGATTACCTTGTCTAATGTTGCTACTTTTAATTATCTCTTAATATTAATTCAGAATCCTCTCTTTAACACACTGTCCTCACGCATCGTCATACTCATCAAACAATGTGTACTCATACATAATAAAATCTACATGAATGTCGAGATAATTATGGAATGATTTACAGTAGTTACTTCCTCGGTATTTGCAGCAATACCATATGATTGATTTCAAGAAGTCGTTTCCAATGGCACCACTTGTAAATCCTATGCACTCAATATGAAACCACAGCCCGCAGTTACATTTCACTTTGTGTGCACGTGACTCAATCACTTTGTCACACAGCGAACATTGTCCATCACCAAAACCATATTTTCCTTTCTGCTTTCCTTTGAAAACTAATTCTTCTTTTGTGTCCCTTCTCTTGTCTCTTTTTGGTTTGTTGTTTTCTAATTCTTTCTAGCTGAAACACAATTTCCACATGTGAGCCATATTGCAGATAGACACATACTGGCCATGTCTACACGTAATTTATCTTTATGATGACCTTCCTGAAAATGTAGATTGACATGGAATATTCATCATTTCCCAAACGAGTACCACGAAACACCTTCCCTGCCGCCATCACATCACCATGACTACTGGACTCTAAAATCCAAATATAACAATGTTCTTCACAATATTCACAGACCATATACGGGTACTTTGCTATATTTGAGCCATTATCTCCCCACAGACCCCTCCACAACGCAAAAGAATGCTTATCAATGTAGTGGTATGGCATTGTATAATACCAGCCACTGGGGTCGAGTCTATGGTGCGAGCATGCTATTTTTAGTTACATCTACCCGGCATTCGTGGATTCAAGGTTTTACAATGTATAACATAGGGACTGGGAGAGGGTCGTGGGAAATGTTAAGGAGAGTTTGGTGGAAGGGGAAGGACTACGAAAAGGAGGAGAATAAACAGGGATTGACGGAAATTTTGAGCCTGTGCAAGACTTCTCATTAAGAGTCTGTTATATTGAAGTGATTCACAACCACTGAAACCAACAATCCACCATACGAACACTTCCAAACTATAAATAAAAATTGCACCCAAAAAATTATGACCACTGATGTTATACTAACATCGACAACCTAGGCATACATACATGTGCCTCAGATGACCTCAAATGGAATTTACACGTATCTAACATCACCAAGAGGGCCAAAACCATGCTAGGGTTCCTAAAGAGGAATCTTGAAAACTCCCCTCAAAATTGCAAACAGTCAGCCTACACGGCTTATTGTGGTCAACCCATATACTGTAGTAAATATCAACCACCTCAACCGCATTCAGCACCGAGCCACCCGCTTCATCACCAGTCACTACAAGTCACGGCAAACAGGGTCACCAAGATGCTAGAGATTCTGAAGTTACCGACCCTTCATGAAAAATGTAACAATTACATCTGACATGTCGATATAAAGTGGTTTCCGGACTGGTTTCAGCAAATCTCTCTGATTTCTACTTAAAAACCCAAACCACGCAGAACAATTACACCAAGAAAGCCTGGCAGTTCACTTCTTTATTAAAGGAACATGGTGAAAATTCCTTTATACACATAGCAATATTAGCTACATTAGTTTCAAACACACTATTGTCACCATTTAAACCAACTTCACCAAGTAAACCAAAGAGTAAGAAACAATGTCAATCTTAAATCTTGCAGTGCACAAACTTATCATGCCTTAAGATGGCTATACTCCCTTCCACATTTATCATTCCTGGACTAGATTTCATTACAAACCAAATCAACTCCAAATGAAAAGCAATAAATCTGCGCATGAACCAAGATTGCGCTCTCTGTTACTACGGCTGCTACGGCAGAGCACCAGCCATGCATCATGATGATATACGTCAAATGGTTCCTTCTTGGTGGCTTGAACCTAAACCAGAAATCTCCAAAAATCGCCCAATACAACTGCTTAAATCCACTATAAACTTTCTGAACATCATGTAATCTGCATTCATCTACAAACTAACACAATTATGTCAAGCACTCGCATTTTTGAAATAAAACAATCGCTGACGAGCAATACCAATAACCATTCCGTGGTCATACCTTTCATAAGACATATCGTTTGGTACCACTGGGAACCATACCGTTACTATAATATGTAGCCCTTAACAAGTCATGTACAGCTCAAGCACCAATGCTTTCATTGACCAAAAAAAGGTGTCCTGAAATGGAATCGTGAATTTCCTGTGTCCTGAAATCGTGAATTTTCTGAAAATTGATGGGTATTTCCCGAAATTTTCAAAAGTGCTTCCTGCATGACGTTGTCGTGTTTTGTCACGAGCTAGTATATTTATATATTTAATGAAACCGAACTTAAAACCACGGTACTCACCTAACTGTAGACTAAAGGGCTAGTCTAATCGACGCATGCATCACGCACCAGGTTTCACGGGCTAGTATTAAGTCGCTTCCTAGCAACGCACAACCCCAGTCATTATCTTGCCCAGGCAAACCGGGCAACTTAATAAATTGGTTCGAGGATGACTGCCACGGTGGTGATGCACGCACAGCTGGTGTGCGATATGGAATATGTGAGACGTAAAATTCGGGGTCGAGAAAAAAAGGAATAAATTAATGTTTTTATGTCATCAGCTCAAAACTTCACGCAAGTGTTGACTGGGTAAAGATAGTCATCTATGTCATCAATATTAACGCAATTCGGACAAACTTCGCCACAGACATCTATCCAAAGTTCATTTTTGGGAATTTTTAACCTGTCACTAGAGGGCGCTCGACAATTAGGTGATGTCATTAGTAGATGATTTGAAGAATACTATACCCCAACAGACTAACACCGTTGAAAACAACTTGATACCTATTACAACTTTTAAGCAATAAGCCACTTCCAGTTTCAACCGGAAGGGTCAAGTGGTTTGACCCACACGAGATGAATTAAAAACCACATTTTATCCTGCACTCGCTGCAAACAGAACGCTGCAGGAGGCCACAGTTTATTTTATATGGATTTTTATAAATTTAACGGAATATTTGAACATTCAACATTTAATAATAAATTACCTGATGACGTCATCATGACGTAAATATTTCAGCTTTATCTTCGTTTTATAGTTAGTGCTTGCTGTAACTTTGACGACGATCAACAATTACTAAAGTACCAAAATAGTGCCTCGAAAACGTGTACAAAGTGAATAGGCTGAATTAAATATTGAAAAATAAAAAATTAATAACTTTATGACGTCATCATGACGTCACTCTTCGGCATACATATATGCAATAATGACTATGCCCATTCCAATTTTGATTGCTGTGCGACAGAGATTAAGGCAAAAGTGCTGCACAGAAAAACGTGTGGAAAGTCTATGGGCTTTTGGCCCAAAAGAAGCAGAAGGACCCCCCCAAAAAAATCCTGACGCTCGGAAAGGCTTTTGCAAAATGCGAAAAAGCCAAAAAAATAAAAAGACAAAAAACCGTAAGAAGAACAATAGCTGTTTCGGCAAAGTTAGCTAACAGTTGAAGCCTGAGACTAGACGGAGCCGAAGTTGAGTATTGGAAAACGGCCCAGGTGTTTGTTGGCGTACACTGCGCACGTGTTCCTCGAAGCGGTCACCAAGGCGACGCTTGGTCTCTCCGATGTGCAGTTTACCACAGCGATGACATGTAATGCAATAAACCACATTACTTGTAATGCATGTATGATCCCCGCGTATTCTGTAGATACCGCGGGGGCCGATGACCGACGGGCTGTTAACTATGTAGAGACAGGTGTTGCATCTGGGGTGCTGACAAGGGGAATTGCTGCCTGCTTTTGACGGCGAGACAGAATCTAACCGGGAACGCACAACCATGTCCCGACAGAACGATCGCGCCTAAACGCGCAAATCGGGGTTCAGTGAAAATGGAAGCTGTGGCCGCATCATCGCATCATCAGTGTGCGAAAATGTTTGAGAAGAACATTACGTTTCGGGATGTTTCGAGGGTGGGTAGTAGGGGGACGCGATCACGTTGCTTGGCCCTGGTGGGTTTCAGAGCCGTTTCGCGCGGGATTGAAGATACGGCGTTGAAGGCAGCGTCTGCGATAGTCGGAGGGTAACCCCGCTGATGAAAGAAACCTAGCATTTCCCTCCCCCGCGCAGAGAACTCCGCATCGCTACTACAAATCCTACGCAGTCGAAGAGACTGAGAGTAAGGGATGGAGTTCTTGCACTTGAGGGGGTGAGACGATTGGTACTGCAGGTAGCTGTGGGAATCTGTGGGTTTACGGTAATGCAAGGTTGTGCCAAGTTTCCGCGCTCAGATCTGGACGCGCACGTCGAGGAAGGTGACAGAGTGCTGCGACACATCAGATGTGTAGCGCAGTGCTGGATGAAAAGCATCCACAACGCTAAGAAATTCTCAACGTCATCACACGTACCGGTGATAGCACCAACTATATCATCGATGTATCGCCGGTACATTAACGGCATGCGCACACAAATTAGAACAATATTATGCATATTCAGTAGGTGTGGGACTATTATATAAGCTCACAAGCGATGTGTAGAATCTTACCCTATTAAACCCCGCTTTTGTTCTCACGATGGCGCGACCTTTGGTGTCTTTCGTATGTGTGCTATGTGCGTGCTCAGTCATTTCGTTGGTCTTGGTCTCTTACAATAAATATCCATCCAACGTCCTCGCTAACCAAGAAGTTTGGTTACCGAAGCCTCGGATCGGTTACACTGAGGCGGGAGACAGAACTGATCTTATCGCCACTGAGGGCCATACTCTTACGCTAACCATCCGCATGTCAGCCGTGCCCAAGCTTATAACGCGTCTCTACTGCGATCTCCTCCGATCTGCTGTCCTGTTCTGGTCGTCGAAGCTGGGCCACATCAGTGTAATACTGGACAAGGAATCGGAGGCGGACCATCGGTTCGCAGCGACGCTGAGCCGGCACGAGCGCGAACTTGGAGTCAAGTTTGACTTTATGTACGAGCCTCTACCCAAGAAACCTGCCATTTTGAAAATGGGAAGAGGTGGAGGATACGGTCGTCGACTCTGGAGCAGCTTCTTCATGGATCTGTACATCAACTCGTCCATTATTGCTTGGATTGACACAGATGCGATGTTCACGACTCCTGTCACCCCTGAAAACATCTTCAACGGCCACCGACTCCGAGTGGTAACCTTTACTGACTGGAGCAGAATGCATCGTAACGGTTGTTATGAAGCCACAAAACTTGCACTCGGCAAGGACATGGTGGCGGATTTCATGACACATTTCCCCGCCTATATTTGGAGAGATACCATAACAAATTGCAGAAATCACATGCTGAAGCACATGAAGGTAAGCCAGAATTTATATTACGATACAATTCCTGTTCTCATAATTCCAACTTGAGATAAGGTTCTTTTAGTCCCTAAATGAATCTATTAAAACGACCCCATCAAAGAAGCAGAACACTCCCTTTGCGAACATATTGACTCTCGATTTCCCGCCAGTTTTGAAATTCATCAGAAAGTTTTCACAACGTCTGTTGCAGGTGACCCGCTTGGACGACGCCTTTCCCAAACTGGTCAATCTCGTTAGCCCAGTGAACGTGATTTTAAATTACGCTTACTACTTTGAGAATGATCGTTATGACTGGCATTTAGATGTCAACAAAGATCAGGAAGCCTACAACTTGAAACAACTTCCTCGCGGTTTGAACATCAAACCCAATGAGACTATACCAGAGGTGCGTGTCACCGTACACGAGAAATACTACCAAAAACCGAAGGAGCCCAACCCTTTACTGCAGGGCTACTGTGTTGCAAAACGTTTCGTGGGCCCACTGCCCGCTAATTGCCAAACATTTGAAAATGTCACCAACTTTCAGCTGTTTGAGTTTAGCTGGTTCCCAGGCATCATTCAGAGCCACATCTGTACATGGTGTGGATCAGACGAAGGTCGCCGAGACTGTGTCCGGCGTCTGGAAGCCCACTACAAGAACGTGAAGACGTACTACAACCTGGGATGGTTTGATTTGAATTTGAGACGGGTGCGCGCCGTGGAGAAAGTGGCTGCACAGGAGAATGCCATGTGTCCCAAAATATTCGATTTTGATTAAAGTGAAAGAGTCAGTGGTTTTAATTCCGCAAGAACCTTTTAACAGTATCTATAGTTATCGCTAAACAGGTTCACTTGTAATTAAATGTACGTCAATGAAGGTGACCTTTTTAAGGGGAGATTCTATGCTTGCTCTTTCTTGTGCACCTGCGCTGCACCTGCGCTGTTTTCATAATTAAGTATGAAACACTTTTTTTCAGGTTTCCATATTGTTAATTACCAAACTCTCTCAAGTGCATATAGATGCATTAGGTGACATTTTGGAAACGAAATCAGTGATGCACGCAAATCTATAGAAAAGCATGCAAAATATAAATAGAAAGTCTATCATCCCTGGATTAAAAATAAAGAAAGAAACTGGTCACAACGTATGCAAGTTGTCACTTTTCGCAGTCTTTTACTTCGTAGGACACTTACTTAAGTAAAGCAGTGGCGTAAATTTGAGCCGGAAATTGTGGGGATGGGGAAATTTTGGGGGTAACATTCCCATCAATGAAAATTTGAAATGGGCGGAGCAGGTGACACTATAGGACTCTACACAGAGGTTGAGGTTCATAATGTCGATGTACATCAGAATGGCATATTCATGACCATTTATTTTTTTCCTTTTTGAGTGATAATGAAATGGAATTTAGTCTTTGGAAGTCCGAAAAACTCTTCATAATCAGCTTGAATTTTTTGCTTACCACCGAAAAAAGTTTTAAGTGTGTGTATGTGGGGTGGGGGTTGATTAAATAGCCCTCCCCATCCAAAAAAGGGGGCAGGAGATATATAATGCCCCCATCCCCTCAGAATTTACGCCCATAAAATAAAGACAACATCAAAAATATTTTGCCACATGAATCGAATGTCAAAGGATGCATCAGATATAACAAAAGCGTAAATAAATCTTTTTAATAAATTAAAGTCAAGGAACGTATAAATTTTGGTAGAAAAGGGATGTTAAGTTTTCACTTCTTTTTCGTTGAAAACTGCTTGAAATTATTTGAAACGTTTCCTTGAAATGTCGATTTTCTTTTAAGATCAGTGATGGATATTTCTCGTGTGCTTTCATACCAATTTCGTTTTACTGAATCAAAAGAATCTGAAATAATTAGCCGAGCCCAGATAATCCCCATTGCTGACCTCCCTGGCGAGATTTCAATACCGTGGCCTGAGCCCTACTGCACTGAATAGCAAATAAGCTCGGGTATTGTTGAAGCAGAGAGAAAACTTATCAAAACAGGTAACACGCCAAAAAGTCTTGCTTTTTGTAGAGTTGTGATTGTTTCATTGCTTTGGGGTATTTTCTGCTTTGCAACTCCAAGAAATTTTTCCTGGGGGTCGAAGCACAAGCAGTTGGCACCATTACGCTATGGTTAAATGTCAAGTCATTTGATGAATGACGTAGCCAGGAGGGATAACTGTCCGACAAAAATCGTCCCCACTCTCCTACGAAGTTTGAAACAAAACAAACAAACAAAACAGCCGAATCACACGAAAACCAGTCATTTGGTTCCCCCAGCAACTGTGACATCTGCCCCTATCCTCCTTGAGCAGAACCCCCTCATCGGTAGGAAAGAGCCATAGTGGCGGGAGTGCTCATTTTGTTGGTAGCAATGAAACTGTAACAAATGCGTTTCATAGTCGTTCGTGAACCAGCGATGCGCAGTTACTACTAAAGGAGCATTCTTTGAGAGGAAAATTGCTCCCTCTCTTGGTCCAGCTCGGGGCCCAAAGGGGTAGAATCCTGGCTACGGGGCCGCAAGTAATCTGTTTATAACAAACAGTGACCATAGTGCTCTAGTCAATACCAGGCGGTCCAAGACCAAAACCAACACCAGGCCAGAAAAAGTAATCCGAGACCAAGACCAAGACCGACAGTCAAGGACAAAGACCACCATTGTAAAAGGGATGGAATTCACCTCTGTGTTGACCCAAAACCGTGAGGCTTAGGCTTGGGTAGTGGCCACACATACGTTGTTACATGTAGTTTAACTACGGAAAGGTCTTAGAATGTACTTTAACAACAACTTTAAGAGGTGCCATATTCGAGACCAGTCAAATAGATATTTCTATAAATCACGAATTCGGGACATGCGGCGTCCAACTCGGGGTATTTCGTTGCCAAAAAAGACCCACCTGTGGGCCTACGTTGCGCAGAGAGGCCGGTGCCTATACATTCAGACCTGAGCGCGTAAAGTTTACTATTTGGGGGATTTTTTTGGGGGGGAGGGCGAATAAAAACAATATTTGTCTATCCCCAATAAAATTGAAAAGAAAACTGAACTTGTGGCCATCGTCTCGGATTTCCAGTGAAACACGCGAGGCCAACCTCTTCCTGAGTCATCAGGCGGCGCTATTTCTGTCTGAGTTTGTACTGTTTTCTGCAACAGAACAAATGCGAAATCAAGACTTAGACCGAGACGAGGGGTCTAATACCGGGACCAACGTGACTGAGACGGAAACCATGCTCAAATAGGTCTGGAGACCGGTTTCCAGGCTCAAGACCACTCTGGACAATTACAACATAACACAGATACTAGACAACGTAAGGGCGTCTTCCTATAACATCACAGCAACCGCACCTTCGTTTATCAGAAAAAGCTTTGCAAATTCAAACATGTAAAGTGATTTTTTTTAATCATTTTTTTCACAACCATGAAAGTTCTGCTTTCTCTGGGCCCCTTTTCCTTCCAACAGTTTAACAAACTGAAAAGGAAAGGGAACATCTGTGCAGGGTTTGCCGTACTGTTCAATATGACTTGAAAGACGTCTCCTTTGCGCCTCGCTTCCCATAGCCTGCGGTTTGATCAGTCGTGAAAATGATAAATGTTTCGACAAGAAACTGTGTTGGAGCCAGATATGTGCGGAAAAGTTCCCACGGTCCGATAGTTTTGCTTTTTAAATTGCATTTCTGAAATGTTCCATTAACTATTGATTTTCAAACAGCCGCCATTCCGATTGCTTCGTGAGCTGAAAGCGGAACATAGTCGGTGATGGGAGGCACACGCTGGCGTAGTCCACTTTTGGTTTTTCTTTGCGAGATCGATCACTACGGAAAAAAATGTATCTAAAATCGCCTGGGATGTTTATATCCACCACGACGATGAATAGGGTTGTTTATTGGAAAAATTCAATTCATTTGAGTGGTGAACATTGGTACATCCGAGCGAACACGGTCACACAGAAAAACATTTGGTTTCCGTTGCTAAAACTGACATCTTTTTACTGTCAGTGTTTTAGATCAAACTGTTAAAATATTTTTAAAATGGATATTATTTTTAACTTAAGAGGCTTACTCTGACCACAGAACATTTTAATCACATCAGTTGAAAATGTTAATTTTGACATTGTAAGAATACTTAATGAACATAAAATCTTCCTGACATTTTGCCTAAAAGCGTTTGTCCCATTTTGTATTTCAATTAGTTTGTTTTCAATTGACATCATGCATTAAAATGCAACGATAGTTAGAACCCTTTTGAAGTCTGTACAGTTTGCCCCTTAAGTTTCCCAAGAGTGCCTGCAACTCGGCTGAGGGAATCTCTGTCCTTGCTGTCGGTCTGGTTCCCAACGAAACCGTTTGCGTCAAAGGCTTCAGCAACATCGCTCCTCCATCACTCCACGCATATGTTATCACACATTAATGTGGTGCTTCCAAATTTGAAGACTCTCCATGGAGTACATGTCCATGAATCGTATTATGTAATTCAATGTCATTATTCTCCTTGGTCGTGGTAAGCAAGTAAAAAAATGACTGGACCCCAGGAAACACAATAACATCATCAGCATGGCATGATAGAATCATTCCTCAATTGATATTTTAATAACAGTGTGAAGATATGACAATCGGGACAAAAATTACCACCTCACAATTCGTTTCAATATTTCATTAAAAGTTATACCATTTCTTCCATGTTCTTAAAATGTTTCCCGTGAAAAGAAACTGGCTTTTAATCAAACGTTAATCAAACACTGAAACCCAACATTTCAACATCAAAAAAATATTATGACGAATTAATTATTTACACCCGTATATGTTTCAACTACGTTATCAAGATAATATTTTAAACTCACCAATATAATTAGCCATGATAATGTCACCACCGTTTGTTTTGTGGATGACATTTTAAAAGCTTTCCGGTGATGTTAAGATCACGTTATGTGTTCGCTAAGAAGTAGCACAGCTGTTATCCATTGAAGCTCAACAAAAACTATCACATCCGATGTCGAATACAGACACCCACGTATTTTCTTCAGGTTTATTATGCACATGTTAGGCCTGCGTGTTGGCTGGCCTACATAGAACAGCCGGCATATTTAATTTTTACTTCGGGAGTGAAGTGTGCCACTCACACCTCTGAAGACGCAAATGCCACAAACATACGTACAGTCACCAACATTTTATAGATACCACGTATTTGTCCAACCAAAGGAACCAAAGAGGTTCACTCGTCACTCAGCGCGCTGGGAAGGGCCGATGGCCTTGCACAGATTTTAGTGAAGGAAATACGTCACACGGGTCACAGATAACGACGCGCAAAGCATTGTGGGTACGTTTCTGCGGGGCACGCGAGCATTTTGATTCACATTTTGGTCACATCGCTTCAAACAAAAATGAACACTCTGCGCCAACACGCCTCTTTTCAACCAACGAGGGAGTTCTTCTGTTGTATCATGCCAAAATCACAACACATTGTCCCCAACCCCTTGACCGGAAGTTACAAGCCCTAACCACCAAGTTACGTCTTCCCAAAATACGTTTCGGTTGTTGGGAAGCGCAAACTTGAAGGCAAATTCGAAATTCTCCATCATTGTTTTAACCATGAAAAAGTGAGGGGGGGATTCAACAGTCCATCCCTACGAAGAGTAGGGATATACCCCATCCGCGGCATTTACGCCCAAAGAGTTTACTGTCACTAAAACGTGCAGCGTCACACGTCGGTGACGTTTACAAACTCGAGCGTACACGTGCTACCTGCATTGCTCTATGCTGATTGCTTTGGATCACAGTCACATGCAAACAGTTGATCAGCATGTTCCATGCACAGTGTTTGGGTCAATTCGGAAAGAGAATGTCTTATCAAGGTCGAAGTCAGGCTCCTGTGTTCGTTGCGTTACAAAGTCAGGTCCTCCCTCTTTCCCGCTTGGAGCAGAATAGGCCGTGTCGATGTCCGAAGGCTTCAAGGGCTAGGGCTGCATCTATTGTGTGCACTTCTCCGCGTTTTTCCACTTCAACGAAGACCTAAACCTATACATGTAGCGTTACTCAAGCCATTCGGATGGAACCTTAGTCTCCACAGATAGAAAGACTAACGCCAGCACTTTCGATTATCCTCCGGGAATTTACTCGTAGAGACGCAAATGATGGCATTTCTGGAGCTTACGCGGGCCGGGCCTAGATTAAGTAAACACCAGCCGAGCAAGTTACCTTGGGAGGTGTCGCACAATGTGAGAACATGGTGGCCTA